GCCTGATGAATAAACAGCTATGCAAAATTTGCAACAACAATACCTTTAGAGCTTCCAAAACATGCTGATACATTTCGTAATATGAATTCGATTCTACCAATGTATAGATTTTGGAGCGCGATACCGCATGGTTATCGAAGAAGCACAAGCTCAGTTTCCCGCTCTTGAAATCATCAACTTCTCGACCAGCAACTGTAGCAAGTAGAGCTTCCTCTAAAACCACAGTCGCAATTTAAGCGTAATAAATAGCAACGCGCAACAGGCTAGCCGGTGCGATCATGCGTTTTGTGCAATTCAGCCCATCGAACTATTGCCTATTAATGATTTTCACTGTTTTGTACCTTTGTCCATGCAAAAATAGTTCAGAAATTGGGAAATAGTTAAAAATTTCACGCGCTAGTGCATGGAAACTGAATTCGAAACCTTGAAGGGTGAATATCTTTCCGAGATTCCCTAATTAACAGTTTAGCCGCTAAAATCCTCGCGAGGCCATAGGTCATACTCAACAGCGAGGGAGCGCTGGATTTTAATAGGCAAGGTTGAGCGTAGGCAGGGAGTTACTCCCGTAAAATTTCAACTCCCTAGACCCCGTGGTTTCCAAGATAATAATTTACCCGTAAAAACTTTCACTAGCCCGCAGGTGATACCCGAGAGCGCGGGAACGCTGAGTTTGACTGGGCAACGTTGAGCGTGGCAGAGGGTCAATACTCTGGAATTTCAGCCTCCTAGTCTCCGTGGTTCCTGAGATGTTAATTTACCCGCAAAAACTATCACGGGGCTGTAGGAGTTGCCCGCGGGCACGGGAAGGCTGAATTTAAATTTGCCACGTCACTCAATGGCGGGGAACACTATACCAAAATTTCAGCCACCTAGCTATTGTGGTTCCCGAGTTGAAAGTGCGGGACGAAATGTGGGACACACATACACACACACAGACACACACACACGCGCGCACACACACACATACACACACAGACAACCCCGTAACAATGTACGTTTTGTACTGCTGTTACACAGCACAAAACGCATAAAAATGAGATTTCAGCTATGAGACAGTACGGGCCATGGAGACCCCCAACCCACATCATATTTGCTACATTTTGTTAATTATGAATGCTTTGTTTAATTCCATAGTGTTTTATTGAAGTCCGTGTGCAACATCCCATTCAACTAGCTACTATCATAACTTTCAGCGATCATTCTACCTCCCGATGTGTTCCTTGAACAAAATACACCACTTCACCATGAAATACAGCTCACAGGATCAAGTCAAGCTAACGTAAAGAATAAAGTGTAGAAGCTTTCACAAGAGTGTATCTTAAAAACTTATCTCCTCCTCTCCTATTGTTATTTTTATCGCGTTTTCGCCAGTTAGGCTTTCAAGGCTTTCAAGGTCAACCTGGTTGCTACAATCTGCTTAAAACAGTACAAACCTCTATGCATGACAAGGTAATAGCTTCAAAAATGCAAGACATTATGCTGCGTTTCTTAGGTTAAATTTGGGAAGCATAAAAACACCGTCAACCTGGCCAGTGAATGGTGTTATGGGGGAAGTAAAACGCACAAAAACTATGAAAAAAATGCAAAAAATTCACTAAAGCTAGGAAAAGAGTGGCCAAGAAACTTGAAATAGTCAAAAAAACGAGCTTCGAGAACTTGCAAAACCCTCAAGCAGAGCCTATGGTAAAAGACTGGTAACCGAGTCGGACATGAATATCTCTGCATACACAAAAAATCTTTGGGAAGAAGAACCAAAAGAAGGATAAATCACGGTCCTCGAAAGCATTTTTTCGATTAAAAAAAACAAAAAAAAAAAAAACGTCAATAAAACCGAGATATTGCTCATACTGATTTTGACAGAAAAACCCCAGTTCCAAAACTTTAGAAAAGTGAACAAAACAAACAAAACACTTCATGTTAACCTTGAAATCCATCGCTCGACACTGCCACAAGTTGTCCATACTTCAGCGGTTGACTCCACGGTCCATCACAATCAAAGGGCTGAAACTT